ACTCATTCAATCATTCTCTCATTTCATTTCATTTCACTTCACTTCACGTCACGTCATTTCATTTCATTCTTTCATTCATTCATACATACAAACATACATACATACACACACATACATACACGCACATACATACATACATACACACACATGCATACACACACATACACACACATACATACGATACATAGATACATACATACATACATACATACATTACGTACATACAGACATACATGCATACAGGCAAACATTACATTACATTACATTAATGAATACATACATACAGACCTACATACCTTAATACCTTACCTTACATCACACTACATTACATTAGTATTACATACATTCATACAAACATACATACATACATGCATGCATGCATACATACATACATACATTACGTACATTACATTACAGTGCATTACATTACAATACATTACATACCATACCGTACCATACATAGCATAACACTACTTAACATAACATACATAGCATACATACATTGCATACATTACATACATAGCACACATAACATAACATAACATACAAGCTTACGCACATACATACATTCATTCATTAATTAAGGCTGCGGATATATGTTTGAAGTTCTTTTGTTTCTTTGTTTGGTTTTTTCGTTTTTCGTGGGAGGCGCACTACTTTGTGGACCTTGAAGCGCAGATTCCGTGGCAGGCGCAGTACTTTCCGGTCCTTGAAGTCCAAAATTTGTGGCAGGCGCAGATTTCGTAGCAGGTGCAGTACTTTGTGGACCTCGAAGTGCAAATTTTGTGGCAGGCGCGGTACTTTGTGGACCTTGAAGCGCAGATTTCGTGGTGGGCGCAGTACTTTGTGGGCCTTGAAGCGCAAATTCCGTGGCAGGTGCAACACTTTGTGACCTTGGAAGTGCAGATAGTGAGAGATAGATATAGAGAGATTCTGAAAGAGAGAGAGAGAGAGACAGAGAGATAGACAGACACAGCCCCACAAAAGCCAAAGCCAAACGCCACAGAATCCAGAAGCCACGAAAGCCACGAAAGCCAAAAGCCACACAGAATCCAGAAGCCACGGAAGCCACGAAAGCCAAAAGCCACACAAGCCACGAAAGCCAAAAGCCACGGAAGCCACGAAAGTGAAAAGCCACAGAAGCCACGAAAGCCAAAGGGCAGGGGGGTAGAAAGAGTCCGTGGAAGGCGCCCAGGGGGAACCTTAGTTGCTCTCTGTGGCTGCCATGCCAGGGCCAATTTTGTACAAAGAGGCACAAGTACCATGCTAGGATAGGTCCACAGTTTCACCTGTTTCACACGGGCCTTGCACGTCACAGGAGATTGTTTTCACGATTGCCCCTACTCCTTTTTTCGACAACTGAGCTCACCTAGGCCTCCCTCCGGGGGGGGAGGGTATGCAGCACCGTTGTCAGCAAGCAGCTACTGCCTGAGCACCGATATGCCTCTCGTTTCGTTAAGCCAGAAGCCACGAAAAAAAAAAGAAGACACCCCCCCAATGAAAAGCACGGAAAAGTAAACCAAGCACCCACCAAGGCCAACCTAGGCATACGCCCCACAGACCCAAGTGGGCCGGCGCCCGGCTTTTAGGCGTAAGCCTTTAAAATCCGGCCAGGGGCCCACGGGGCCCCGCCCTGGCCGTGTCTTTGCCGTAGGCAGTCTCTCCTCTCCGAAGGAGAGAGGGGAGTCCCGCCCCAGCTGCCGACCCCCCAAGAGACCATGTAGAATACTGTGCTTTACAGTGTTTTCTGCTTCTTCCACTTTTCCGCTCTTCTAGCCCCCAAGATGGGCCAACATGGCCCCAAGATGGGCCAAGATAGCCATAGCCCCCAAGATGGGCCAACATGGCCCCAAGATGGGCCAAGATAGCGCCAAGATGGGCCTACATAGCCCCCAAGAAACATAGCCCCAACATAGCGACAAGATGGGCTAGCATAGCTCCCACGATGCCCCGATAGCCCCCAAGATACGCCAACATCGACCCAAGCTGGGCCAACAAAGCAACAACAACAACAACAACAACAACAACCTCCCCCCTCCCCTTTGCTTGGGCCCCTGGCCGGCTGTCGGGCGTAAGCCCTTAAATATATATATATATATATATTAGCCTGATGAATGTGCTCTGCATATCTTCACGTCCCAGACACGTCGTAGCCACTTCCCGCAACCGCTGCACTGCGTAGCGTGTTTGCACGAGACATTCGGCTTCCTCCAAGAGCTCAGAGTCCGTGCTACCTCAGCAAATCAGGCCTTCCGAGAGAACACGTCACTGGAAGAGGTATGAAGAGGTGAGGTAGTAGCTAGGAGCTTCCCCGCCTGAGGGCGGAGGGGAGCTTCCTTGAAGAAGCACTCGCACTATTCATGTGGTTCCTAGATTTTTAGGGAAACTCAACTTTTATATCATAGCATAATCCTATTCTACATACATGACATCATCTCATCAGCCTATGACGAGAAAGATCGATCTCTCTCAATTGCGAAGAATCTCATGCGTTTGATTGACCTGCCTCGCCCAATCAGGTCGCACTGCATCTCCATGCCTGCAGCAATCCGACAATTTCAATCACAGGGGGGCACCACAAAGGTTACACATCTCAAGAACTGAGGTGTTGGGGCTGCCCCTTTTTGTCAATAAGCACCGGGCGCAAATGTATGTCTGCAACGTGGCGACGCATCTTCCCTGGCAGCATCAGCAGTGCTCGACACATTGCACGAGGTAATGGCATAGACCATGGTGCACCTCAGCTGATGTGACTTCCAAGTCAAAGCCTGCGGCCAAATTTGTGCAACATGCCGCCACCGTGGTCCTAGCCGCCACGCCAGGCCTGTGATGAGTCCACGTCTGAATCGCCAACGCTGAACCAAGTTGCGACCATGGATGGGCACGAAAGAAGGTGCCTCACCTGGAGAGGAGTGAAGCTGCACATTCACCACCCCCAAGTGTCCGGCTCATGTGTGTTTGCGTGCCAATGGTCTCCTATGCGGAGACTGTTATCAGTGTGTCACCTCGGCTGGTCCTCCAACCCGACTAGTTATTCTTTTTGCGTCCATGTTCATCGCAGCTGATGGGCTGATGGGTTTTCCATCTCTGCCATCGTTGAATTGCCGGCGAAGCTAAAGCTTGACCGGGAAACCTTTGAAACCTCATAATGAAAATATGACGCCTGGAGCTTGCAAAGTGTGTCTCATGTCATCTCCATAGTGGATGGGCCTGAGCTCGGAGCCGAGCTCGGAGCTGCACTTCGCGCAGGCTAGCGCCTGGACTTGACTAGAAGAAGAGCGCCTGCCACTGCAGCAGCCACTGCTAGAACCACCATTGTCACGAAGGTCCAACTCCCCCATGACTTCTTCTCGATCACGCCTTCAAATTCGCGCGTGTACTTCTCACAGCCATCCTTTGAGGCCCAACATTTGGAACAACCGGGGGACCATGCTGGCTCCAGTGGGTCGCCAGGCATGTATTTTCCGGGACCTCCGTCTTCTGCCTCACGCCCAAGGCACTGAATGGCCTTTGCCCGAGGTGTCCAGAAGTCACGTCCTCCCCACCAGGGCAAAGGCTCCCAGCAAGATGCACACTCCCCGGTCTTCTTCTCACGGCATTCCTTGCACTTGCTACAAATCCCGGTGCAACAAGCTGTGCATCCGTTGATTGGGCTGAAAGGCTTGGTGTTTTTACCGCTGTGTTTGATGGTCACATCCGCGCAATTGCTCCAAATCTGCTTGGTCATCTCGCAATCCCAGCGCCAACTCAAAACATAGTCACCCTCAGGAAGGTCTGGTACTTTCACGCGGTCCACGATGCCAAAATCAAATGAGGCGTTCTTGTACTCATCCAAAGTGCAGGCAGCCGACGGCTTCTTGGTCACATTTCCGAAACAATAGCCACCACTGTAGCCAAAAATCCCTTTTGATGTTCCATCAGCGTAGGGCCAAAACCTGTCATCTGCAGGTGCGCTGAAGGTTGGCTTGGAGCATTTAGTCCTTGCACGGCCACCTGTGACTGCACACCCGGGAATTGGATTCATTGTCCAAGTGGAATTCTCGGGCACGACTTTCTTGCCACTGACTCGACGAGCCTTGATCTGGATACGGTTTCCTGGATCATAGCCATTCCCAAATTGAATCCATTGGTCTTCGCCCACAAACTCCAAGGGTGTCTTTTGGAAGCATTCTTCTGATAGCTCTTCATTCACAGGACACAAACGATACTGGTACCCCCCTCCATGATTTGCTGCCATGGCCCATGCAACTTCTACAACTGAGCCAGCAACCCACACCGTCTGATCCAGCAACTTTGGAAGCTCGCGGCCACTCGCACCGGTTGAAAATCCAGGTGGTGGGTCCAGCTGCCCCTCCGGCTCAATGTACCCAGCAGTAATGCCGCATGCATCTGCCACAGGCGATTTCCCAGGGAAGCGCCAGGGATGATCGATTGTCGGGTTTCCGTAACCATCATCCTTGTACTGCAAGAGCTCATCATCTTCTCCATCCTTCAAAGAGGGCTCCACAGGCTTCTCGCAGCCCGTTTGCAGGCCTGTGATTTCAGGGCAGCCAATAGCACAACCTTGGTTGTACCATTGGCAAGCTCCTCCCGGACACGTTGGGGCCAACAAGGACATCCCTTGTGAGTTGCGCGAAGGTGGCTCATACATCGAGCCATGGCTCTCAGCTCTCTGGAACATCTGAAACCAGAAAGCACACAGGAAAACCAAGACGGAACGCCTTCCTCGCGCCATGATGTTTCACTAATCAAGGATGCGCAGATCCGAAGGTCTTTCCACTCTGCAACTGAGCAAGCTCTCGGAACAGAATATGTGTATGCTTCATCTCAGATCTGATGTGCAATGCTTCTCACAGCTTCAAAAGTATATTTCTCACAAATTGCCACACCGTCTACCATGCCTTGAGAGAAGGGCGCACCATCACCAGGAGCAGCAAAATGCAAGCACAGCGCATGGAAGAGGGGGTGCAAATGGGAGCCTCGTCAACACAAATTGCTCATCATGTCACGCAGCTTGTTGTTCATGGTCGGAGCATGACTGACTAGAAATTCCAGCACTTGTGCTATCATCGTGTACATATTCAGTATGATTATACAATATTATATAGATATGGCTCCAATTGCCTGCTCCTGACCTGCGGCGGCTTGCGCAGTTGTTGAACCATCTTGAAACTAACATTCCAAGGCACAGTCTTCAGGCCGAAAGTTTGGCAGCAGGCAGGCCTGAAGAAAGGCGGCAGCTGACAAAAACTGCGTCTCTGAACAAATTGAGCGCGAGTCAACCATGGTTGCAACTGTCGCCATGGCAAGTTATATAAAGACTTGAGGCCAAGGGGGGGGGGCGAAAGCTAGCGCTCCAGAATGGGAAAGTGGAGGGCAGCGAGGTAGGAAAAAACATGGCGCTCTTTTTGGAGGCAGTCAAGGAGACGTCGCGGTGGCATCGCAAAGATCCACCTGCAGAGCGGACTGTCGGAAGTCTGCAGGGAGGGTTGTCAGAGGCTGCAGTGCGAGTGCGGCCGCAAGATACGCAACGCTAACCGCATGCCAAAGAGCGACGACAGGACGGAGTCGAACTTGCGAAGAGGGAGGAGGGAGGGAAGGTGGGAGGAAGACAAGGA